TTTTAAATATTCCCTGGTCCTTGAAACCTAGCTCTTCGGTAGCTATCTGTCGATTAAACAATTTAGCCATATTCGGTAATATCAGGAATTGACTAAGTTCAGTTTTGAATTCACCGATAGTCGGACTAGCACTGAGTGCGGCAGTCGGTTCCAGCTAGATAAGTTTCGAATTACGAATAAGTTTGTGCGAAATTGCAACGTAAACTTTTATCGGGGGAGAATAAATTATCGATTCCTTAAGTTGTATTTATTAACCTCTCCAAACTTCAAGTGTGTGCCTGAGCTGAAGCTGAGGTTATGTATCAGTTTGTAAAAGAACACTGTTCAGCTTCAGTCTTCGTAACCATAGAGGATCGATGCACAGTAAGTTACATCTACCGTGATATGTTGCTGGCGACGATTCACTCATAAAACTTTCAGTGAATGACCACTGCAGACGTTCCAGTGATAAGAGACCACTCTTGCGCACGCGACTGTATATGGTCGGGCAGTACTCCAAAAGTAGCCGCACATAAATTAACTAAAGAGCTAGCCTGGCTTTAAGTAAAACTATTGAGTTGTTGATTAAGCTTAAAGCGTGTCTTGCCTTTGCTAACACTTCTTGAGCGTGAGTTGGGAAGTCTAGTAGTTCATTGTAGATTAAGCCTAGGTCACGGACGGACTGAGTGCTAGAGCTTGGTACCCATTTCAAGTTAAAGTTCCTAGTGTGATGCTACCTCTATGACGGAGTACGCGGAACTTGTGCCCGGAGAATTTAATTAACCATTCATTTGATCAGAGTTCAAGGGAATTCAGATCCGTTTGAATAGTTTTGTTGATTATCTGCAGATGTTCTGGAGGAACGCGGAGACTATTTTCATACCTTTCGCTAATAGAAACGGTCTAGCAAATTTGATTTTATCGAAAACATCATTGATGTAGATGAGGAATAGAAGGTGACCAAGTAGCCTACCTTGCAGCACTTCACTCATTATTGCACGTGGCTATGATTCCAGGTTATTTAGTAAAACAGTCTGAGTGTGACCCTCTACGAACCAAGTCAGGAATGCGTCATGGACTCTGAATGACCTAAACTTCAACAAAAGTCGCTTATGCGGAACATAATCGAAGGCTTTATGCATATCAAGGAAGATGACCGGTACCGAAATTTTGGCATTTACAACCGACGTAATGTAATCTAGCAAGTCTATCTGGCAGGTGTTACATGAGTGTTTAATCATAAATCCATATTGTCGGTCACTTAGGTGTCTGTGTGTAATAAGCTAGTCAACGAGATACCTTTTCGATTATCGTTTAAAATACTCTAGAAATGATGGGTGTGATTAATGGGTTGATGGTTACCCGCTTCGTTTCGTGCACTGTTTTTATGTTGTGGAATGTTGATAGAATGTTTCCATTGGGATGAAGGCTATATATTAGAGAAAGGCTAAACATTTTAAAAACTAATATGGAGATGTCTTCGCCGTCATGCGTGAGTAAAATTGGAGAAACGCCATCCGGCCCCACAAAGTAGTGGGTCGAACTAGTTTTAGGGCGGATTTAACCTCAGTGGTGTATATACTTATCTCCAGCAGTTTGCGACCAGTGTAATTCGTCTGATTGATATCTACAGGCTCAGCCTCGTTAATAAGTGAGGAAGCGAAATATTCACTGAACGCCTCACACATGCAAATGGGGTTGGTGATATTTACATCTTTGTGTCGGATTGAGATGGGGATTCGGTCGGTCCGCCTAGGATTTCTTGACTGTAGCATTTGTGTGAGCGCCGGTGTCTTACGGCAATCGGAAATTACCAGACGCTCTTCAGCTATATGTCGCAGACTGTTATCTGTAGCGTTTTTATGGTGAAGACTATTTATACGTATGATTATGGAGAAGTCACCAGTATTGTTATACCTAGCTCGAAGTTTTCATAGCTCGCGACATACTCTTGGTGAAAATTTGCTGGTGGTTCTATTCGCTGGAACTAGCATTCCTTTCAGTGGCGCGAGTGTGTCTATACATGTTCAAAAGTTTGTCAAATAGTTCTGACACAGACACCTCGACATTTCTGGTCAAGCAAGAGTTATTCCAGTTGACAGACCTTCGAACTCTGGAGAATTTAGACCAATCAACAGATCGGATGGGACGACCTAATCTTGTAGAGTTTCTATGATTCCAGGTAGAGGTAATATAACACTTTGCAATGTTATGATCACATTCCGGGAATTCACCCAGGACAGTTAGCTCAACACATGGGAGGTTAAGAGTGAATACTTGATCCAGGCTGTCATACTTGTGGCACAGGTAACTTGTTGTGCCCAACCTGTTATACCGATGCTTGCTAAGCAGTCTACGTATTTTTAGGACCGCAGAGTGAAGTCCACGCCATTTCTGGCATGCTGAAGTCCCCAGCAATAATTTTCCCCATGAAGTACTGTGTTGTTGCGAACAGGAAGACCATCCTAGGTTTAACAAGTGCGGAGTCGTTGCAAGGTGGTTGGTTATAGACGCAGCCCACCAAGAAGTCTAGGTTGTTAAAGGATGTCCTTATCCAAAAGGAGTCATCAACTGAGCACAGATGAGAGCCAGTCAATTCTTCCAGCCAGAGGTCTAGTCGAACGTAAATAGAACAGCCTCCACCTCTACCCGTTAGACGACTTTTGCGAATTAGTTTATAACACAATAGTTGAATAAGCATATGCGGTTTCACCAAGTTTCAGTAATGGGCAGCAGGTGAGGATAAAAAAGTGTAGCCGTGGGTTGAAGGATCTACGTTTGGTTAAGAAGCGAATAGGCGTTGAGAAGAAAGAATAGGAGACCATTTCACAGTCTGGGAGATTCTGATATGTTCCTGAGAAGTAAAATAAATAAATAAATAAATAAACGTTTTATTACTCAGCTGTGTGAGGCACAGACCAATTGGGTGGTGTTATCAACATGTACAACGTGATCGCATAATATAGTTAATTATTCGTCTTTCGATCAATGGTTCCCGTATGGGTTTTTGGATTGATTATCAGTTTGGAAAAAGTAGAGAGATAAAGAAACTGGGAACAATAATAAATGTAGATTTCACGGAAAGTTCAAGTAAAGTAATAAGGTCATCCATGAAACTGTCCTCAGGGGACTTGCTTCCATGCACCGTATTTCCACGATGGGTTTCACCCGCACTTTCATGCTCCAATTGGCTCTGCGCCTGTGTGGTGAGATAGTAAATAGATCATCAGAACTAGGTATCAAACGTCCTTTTTAGGGCTGTTTTATGCATACATTATAGGCGATGAAGCCTCAGCCTTTTCTGTCATGCGGATCAATCAATTATGGCACTTTTTGTTTTAAGCCAGCGAGTCAGTAGTAATATGATTTGCATGGGTATACTATTTTATTTTGGAAGTTGTAATCCGTCACCACAAGAGATCAGCCCAGTCATGACCAACGGTGAAACAAAGAGGAAGATAAAGTATGAGGAATTATAAAACATAATGATGAATACAAACGCTTGCCGATAGGCCAGTCACAATTTGGTGGAAAATCTTGGCGAGTGACGACGATGGTACAGAGACATCAGCTTGAAAAGTGTAGTGCATCTGCAAACCAGTGCGTCAAAGGAGAAAACAGAATTGGTTAGACGGATTGATAGGAATGAGATCGTTATCAAATATATACTCAAGAATGCAATTATATGTAGGTAATCTTATATTATTGAAACGAATAGAGGATATGGTGACTTTCATATGTATCCAGGACCTTTCTCATACAAATCATCTAGAGTCACCGTTTGGCTTAGTGTTGACCAGATGTTTGCAACAGTCAGGGGAATATTAATCATGCGTCTGAATTGTGGATAGGTAGTGCAGTTTCTAACACTCGATGGAAGTTTGTTCCATATAAACGCATATTTTACAGAAAAATTTTTTTGAGCGGAGCTTTGTGCGAGACTTTGGTATTTTGACTGTGCGCTCGCTGTTTCTAGTTCATAGCGTATACGAGTCAAACTCGAGTTGTGGCTGAGCAGTGAAGGTTAATCCGAATAGTAGGCGGTATAGAAGGCACAGATTAAGTTTGGGTCTGCATAGCCATGGCGGCTCCAGATTTAGCGCCTCGCAACGCTCACGATCTGTCATAGTATTAGGCATGTTCAGAAACCTTTTTGTGAATGATCGTTGAATGTTTTCTAGTGCTATAATATCCACTTTTCTCAGATTACTATGCACTATCGTACAGTACTCAAGTTTCGACCTAACACAAATTTTAAAGGCTTGAAGCCTGGAATCCCTCAAAATAAGAGTTCGACTTATATAGGCGATCACTTTTCTGGCAGAAGCCTGCAAGAATATAACATGCTCTGAAAAACTAACTGAGGCAGAATATTTTGGACCAAGGTCTCGGACTGCACCACACACAGGAATATGGGTATCGTTTAATGTAAGGATGTTTAGAGAAGGGCCAAAGCCGTAATACAATAGATTACTCTTGTCCGTGGCAAAGTGCAACTTCCAGGAGTTACTCCAGAGCTCCAATGCGGACAAGTCAGACTGAATATAGGCTATGTTAGGACTACATTGCCCAGGGGCGGAACAATACACAATTTTAACATCATCTGCGAAATGGAACGGCTTTCCATACGAGATTTCGTCGAGGAGATCGTTGAAATAGGTTAAGAATAAGAGCGGGCCTAGCACGCTACCTTGAATTACTCCACTAGAGATTGTGGTGGCTTCAGACGTATAGTTACCGATTTTGACTACTTGCTTTCTACCCTCGAAGTAGGAAGACAACTATGCTAGGACATAAGCTTCCGCAACAATAAATTGTGTGGGACACGGTCAAAAGCTTTTTGGATGTCAAGAAATATTACGATGATAACACTTCCGGCGTCTCTTGCTCTAGTCACCTAATCAAGGTAATCTAACTCACAGGTAGTGTACGACCTACCTTTCAAAAAACCGTGTTGATGTTTACTGAGAAGGCTCATAGAACTCAAATATTCTATTATGCGTTCTTTAACTATCCTCTCC